TCTCACTTGCTATTCACCATTTCCATGTTTTAATGTTTTAAAATCATATTTAATTATCCCAAGTATATATATAATATACTTTGTACATTTAAGCTTTTTTGTTGTAACTTTGTATTTTCTGCAATGTTGGAATCCTGTATAATGAAGAACATAAAAAATAATGCTGAAGACCAGCCACAGACTAAGAAAAAATATTTGCCAAAGACACATCTGATGAAGCACTATTATTCAAAATATACAAAGAACCATTAAAACTCAACAACAAAGCAAACAACTTGGTTTGAAAATGGGCCAAGGTCATCGACAGACATCTCTCCAAAGAACATGTACAGATGGCAAGTAAGCACATGAAAAGATGCTCTACATCATATGCCATCAGGGAAATGCAATGTAAAACGATGAGATACTGCCGCATAAGCACAGCTGCATACCATGGCCAACGTCCAGAACACTGACAACATGCTGGTGATGATGTAGAGCAACAGGAACATTCATTGCTGGAGGGATTGCAAAATGGTATGGCATCTTTGAAAGAAAGGTTGGTGGTTTCTTATAAAACTTAAAACATACTCTTACCATAGGATCCAGTAATCACACTTACTTGCATTTACCTAAAGGAGTTGAAGACTTAATGTCCACACAAAAACGTGCACACAGATGTTTATAGAAGCTTTATTTATAATTGTCAAAACTTGGAAACAAGATGTCCTTCTGTACCTCAATGCATAAATAAATGTGGTATAGTCAGACATTGGAAAATATTCAATACTTAAAAAGAAATGCACTATCAAGCCATGAAAAGATATAGAGGAACTTTAAATGCATATTATTAACTGAAAGAGGCCAATTTGAAAAGGCACATACTGTGTGATTTCAACTGTATGACATGATTGAAAAGGTAAAACTAGACAGTAAAAAGATCAGTGGTTGGCAGGGTTTGGGGGGTAGGAGAGAGCGTCAGCAGAGCACAGGAGATTTTTAGACCAGTGAAAATATTGTGTATGATACTATAATGATGGATACTTGTCATTATACATTTGTCCAAATCCATAGACTGTAAAACACCAAAAGTGAAACATAAGGTAGACGATGTACTTTGGGTGATTATAATGTGTCAGTGTAGCTCATCAGTTGTAACAAGTGGGCCTATCTGGTGAGGAATGTTGATAAGGGGGGAGGCTATACATGTGGAGGGGCAAAATGTAAATGGAAGTTTTCTTAACCTTCCTCTTGATGTTGCTTTGAATCTAAAATGACTCTAAAAATTTAAAGTCTTAATTTTTTAAGTCTTTTGAAAAGTTAAGCTTGATTAGTGAAAAGAAAATACTAATAATCAAACTGATATTGTATACTTATACAATACTTATTTATACATATTTATATATTTATATAAATATATGAGTTTATATAAATATATATATTTACTTATACAATACTTCAATAATATTTATTGAAGTATTAAGATGTATAAGTCACTTATCACTTTTATTTTCTAGCATGAGCCACTAGGTAGATAAGATGAAAGATATGATCCCAAGATATGAGATTTCCAAAAAGTGAATATGAATATCAACATTGAAGAGATGGATGGAACAGATTACAAAAAGAACAGAAAGACAGAAGGAAAATGGAAGAATATGATGTTATCATAGAGCATCATCAAAGTATTGGAGTAGTTAGCAGTGTTAAAAGTGACAGACACTGTTTTAGGGACTGTTACGAGAACACTGAGTTTTTACAAAGGAAGGAATGAAGGGAAGAGAAGAATTTATTTTACCACAAGTCATGCAAGCGTTCAACCCTTTGCTCAGCCTGCAGACCTGAAGACACACAGTTAAGTTTTCTTCATTTAGGGAAACTTATGTGAGAGTATCTAGAATAAGATAATTTCAGATTTTATAATTTTTCACATGAGGAATAATCTTTGTAAAATCGTTCAGAGTATAGTTTTTCTTGATTTTATTTCATCTATGAGTATCACTTGAAAACGTTGTTTATCAAAACTGACACTGTAAAATTCTTACCCAATTTGTTACATTGCCTTCTCCAAAAGAAACTTGAAATTTTGAGTTTGGAGCCATTTGGAATGCCGTCATCAGCACTTATCAGCCGTGTATCATTGGCCAAATCATTTAACCAAAACGAGTTTCAGTTTTCTCTTTCTTAAGTAGAAGTGATTGGGTTTTTTTTTCAGGATATGTTAGATATTGCATGTGGTAAGTGCTTATCAAGCCACATTAATACTAAAACTTTCATTGTATGTGTGCTCAGTCATTCAGTCATGTGTGATTCTGTGACTCCCTGTCACCACACTTCTGGGTAATGTGGCCACCTAGTTTCCATTAAGTTTTAGTGCCTTTCTCTAGAAACTTAATTTATTGTAGCTCGTCTGACACTTGTTACAGACGTTTTGGGGGTGAAAACCAAACTAGAACTGGGGACAAATGCCAAGATTCTCAGGGAGAGAAGGGGGACCAAAGTAGGTTGTGTTTAGACACAACAGCCCAACAACAAAAAGCTGTTAGGTCTTTAGAGGTGCTTTCTATGGGCAAATCATGTAAGTTGAATTTGTCTACTAAACCCCTAATTTCAAATGGTATGGCTTTAGGAATAAAGAGAGATAATGTGATACATGCAGTAGATAGAGTCCCAGTAGCTCCTAATCCTTGTAGCAGAGTGCTGGGAGTGTAAACCAGCCAGTTTGTAAGAATGATTAGAGTCATCACAGGCAAATAGCAAAGGGAGGACAGAACTGTGGTCCAGGTATCACAAGTGGAGGCTCCTCCTCTGGGAGCCTAGCGTGATAACATGGGGAAGAAGCAAGGTCTGAACCTCTCTCAAGTGCCTACCAGACAAGCAGTGGTGACTTTTCAATTAGAAATTAAATCAATGCCAGAAGTGTGGATGCAGAAAGATGAGAGAATGGTGCTTCCTTGACCCAATTCTCTGTTCAGTTCAGTTCAGTCGCTTAGTCGTGTCCGACTCTTTGCAACCCCATGAATCGCAGCATGCCAGGCCTCCTTGTCCATTACCAACTCCAGGAGTTTACTCAAACTCATAGAAGGGGCTAAAAATACAGAGGTTGAATACAAGTTAAGCAGAATTTATAGTGCCTATGTTATTGCTCTTAATTTAGAAAAATTCTGCTTTTACATGCAGGTTAATCACTTTTATTCTTACAAATAGCTCTTCTGCCTTCTGAAAAGAGCTAGACCAGACTCTTACTGAACTACTATATTCTGAGCTCTTTGAGTTTTTTCTCAAAATTATATTAAGATGATAAGATCTCAAATAATTTTATGCTTGGAAAGATACTTTTAAAGTAGAGCATTAAGGATATGTAATAGAGACATAGGTCATTTATTAGTTAATTATAAAAAATTATTTGGGACCCATTTTTGTAAGGAAAATATTACTTTGTTGACTGAGAACTGAGGAAAAACAATGGAGGGAGATATGCTGAGGGAAAATGGACTTAAAAAATTTTCCACTAAACGGGAAGTACAGATAACAGCTTCAGGTATAGCTGGATTGTGATGACCAGAAAACTATCTGTATTGATCTTTTATTTCTGAGTTTCTTTGCATTATCTTCATTCTCTGAAAGACTCTTCCCACCTCATTCTTATCACCTTCGTAACTCTACCAAAGGAAATGCATACCTTTCTGATGGCATTTTTCAAAATCTTTGGATCAATATAGTACAGAGTTGGGGACTAGAATTGGGGTTGGAGCCAGTCTAACCTAAATCAGACAGACAAAAATGTGGAAGGGAGTTTCCCCAAAGTTGTACTGTGTTGATAAAAATTTTTTTCACTGCCAGATCTATTGCTTAGTAAGTATTTGCCATGCTTCTAACATCACTGGTCTTGCCAATATGCCTGCCTTGCTTTTAGAAGACAGTCAGGTTGTCTTTACTAGTGAAGTCTGCTTCCTTTTTAGCTGTTCACACTTCCAGATGGGCAGAGACCACTGGAACCTGTGGTATACCATGCTTTTTCCCCATAGGAATTTTAATGATTTAAAATCAGTGGTATTTTTTCAAGTCATTGTTTTTCCATTTAATAAAGTACTTAATATATGTAAATTTAAAAGATGTGGTCTATAATTATTTGGCTCATATTTTGAGACACTTCTATCCCCACCAGTATTCTTAATGAGATAACAAAATTCCAAAAGTAAACTTCCTCCCATTAAGCCGTTCAACAGCCATTTATTACGTGCCTGCCAGCTATACTCTATTTAGGCATGTGTGTAATGTGCATGTGTGCTCAGTTGTGTCTGACTCTTTTGCAACTCTATGGACTGTAGCCCACCAGGCTCCTCTGTCCACGAGATTTTCCAGGCAAGAATACTGGAGTGGGTTGCCATTTCCTGCTTCAGGGGATCTTCCCGATTCAGGGATTGAACCCATGTCTCCTGTGTCTCCTATATTGGTAGGCAGATTCTTTACCACTGAGCCACTTAGGAAGTCCCATTTAGGCACAAGGAATATCAGTTAACAAGTAAATGAGGGTCTCTGACCATAAGATCCAGCGTAATGAATCTAATTTACCCAAATTTAAATCTCTTCTGATTTAATCTGAGCTTAGACTTGCCCTATGTAACAAACTACATTTTTTCAACAAAAGCTTGATATTTCATGTAAACCAAAGCTATATTTGAAGGGATATTCCAATAAGTGTTGTTTGGCACAAATGATGCCACTCATAGCAAACAGTAACAAGCCAGCTGCAGTTTGAGTCATGTTTCAGTAAATAAAATATGTGTATGAACTCTGACCCTCAGGCAAGGTTTCTGCAACAAATAAAATAGTGAATGTGATAAACTCCTGAAAACTAGCTTAGATGTCAGAAGCTCTAGCCAAAGTGGTGTTGCCAGACACTGTTCTTGAAGCAACATATAATAAAAGAACATTTTTTTTCTCTTACCCCTCTTTTTTAGGAAAAAACAAAAGGCGATTTAGTGAATTGAAGACACAACTGGAGATGGTTTAAAAGGATGGAGTGCAAAGGTAAGTAGAATTTGTAGGAAATAGCTTTATTCTCTCCCTTGGTCCCTGGTGTCACTGGCTTAGGCTTTTGGTGGCAGCCATTGTAGTTTAGTTATCTGAAGGGCAAGAAAGCTGGAAGACAAACTGGAAGAATCCAAGTCACATCATCTGAAATAAAGAGTTGTGATCATAAATACCAACACAGTCAATACCTCCTCCAAAGGCTAGCAATTCTGAAAGCAGTTGCAGCCATGTGCCAAGCCTGGCAGGGGGCATGTGGGTGACAGCCCAGACTGACCTCTGTGCGGGTGGTCTGTTCTGTCAGGCTGCACTGATGCACATCTTGCTTCAAGGATGAGATTTCCTTTGAGGACTCTGGGTGAACTCTTGGTGCTGTCTAACAGGCTGACCTGGGAAACCCACACCAAGTACCAAAGGCACCAGAGGGATCAGGTTTAGACTTTTGGCCATCTGCATGCAATCTCTGCCTCATTCTGGGAAGTAGGCAAAAAGCTCATCCCTTTGCAAAGCTGAGAGATTTTACAAGGAAACACAAAAGCCAAGGTCAGTTTAGATTCAGAAAGTCACTGCACCAAAGATTCCATGAACCTCTCCCTGCAAAATGAGAGGCAGTTCTGGGTCAAGCTAGATCTTAACACATGTGCAAAATGGACCACCAAGAGGTTGCTCTTCCTGAGCACAATGGCTTGCCTGCCTTCTGCCTTCCTGTGTTTGCAACAGTGAGCCCAGGAGCAAGCTGATGATACCAGTCCAGGGACATAGAGGACCATTCCTAGCCACTGTGGGCATCAAAGACAGCAGTAGAGAAAACTATTCAATTCAAAGCCTTTACCAGTGGCTATTACATGCAAAACACTTCCAGTGGTAAAGTGTAGGAAAGGGTTTAACAAATGAAAACAGCCAACTCTTTAATGGATTTTTTACCCATCTTCCTTTCACACTTGCACCATATGACAAATTCAGGCAGAGGTGGCCTGGGGATATCTTTGAATAATTCATAACCAACTGGTTTTGCTATTGTATCACTACTCCTGATGGCCCACAGTCTAAGCCTCCCTTTCCGTATTATATCCTTTGTATTGTTTATTCTTTCTGTTATGTGATTTGCCTTTTCAGCTCTCTTTTCCAAATAAGACAGTTTAGCTTAGGCTTTGACTTCTACTAAAACACAAGATCTTCTTCAGGTAGTAGTATACTTATTAGTGTTTTCACTTAGGATGTGAAGTTTTGTATCCTATCCTATCAGCTGGTTATATGAAAGAACCTTTAAAGGCTGGGCCCAAAATAACCTCAGCCAAGTTCACCAATTTGCAGAGTCTAGACTAAATCTTGCCTGCAGATATTTTGTTTGGCTGGGCCAGTGATTTTTGTTTTGTTTTGTCTTGGTTTTGTTTGGTCTTGTTTTGTAATTGAATTTGAATGACTTCTGGCAGAAGCTTCTTTTCAAATTCCATAGATCCTTCCTTTCTCTGTCGTCATAACCTTTATAGTCATTTGGGTTTATGGTGTCTGCCCTATACAGTAAGTGGTGATAGTAAGTATCTGTCTCATTCCCAATCCTATGATAAAAGCTTGAAATTTTACCTCTAAATTTGAAATGATTTTTTTGTATTTGTACTATCTGTAGTCTTTTGAGATGCTTATCATTAGATAAATATCTTTCTATTTCTAGAGTATTTTAAGTTATTATCATGAACAAGTATTGAATTTTACCAAATGCTTTTCCTGCCTCTACTGTAAGCCATATTTTTTTCCTTTTTTCTGTTAATTACTAAATTACATTGCCCGATTACCACATGTTAATCCAACATCAAATTCTCAGAATAAATCCTTCTTGGTTGTGATATATGATCCTTTTTACATAGAGCTTGAATTATGTTTGCAATTATTTTCTTTAGAATTTTTACCTAGTTTGAAAAGAGAGTTTAGTTTTTAGCTTTCCTTTTTGGAAAAGGAAATGCCCTTGCTGGGTTGTGGAGGTCAAGGAAGTGCTCAGCTCATTATAGAAGTCAGCAGGGGTTTCCTCTTCTCTAATCTTTGGAAGACCTTGGGTAAAATGTATGTTATTTAAAGTTGTGGGGAGGTTGGAATTTCAAGTTCAATTTCTTTAATAGATGTAGAACTATTCATATCTTCTTTTTCTTCAAGTAGCACTTTGGTAAGTTGAGATTTTCTAGAAATTTAACCTTTTCTACAAATAAGTTTTCAAGGTAATTATTGTAATGTTCTAAATCAGGGGTCCCCAGCCTTTAGGCTGTGGACCGGTACCTCCTGTCAGATCAGTGGTGGCATTAGATTAGGGCTTCCCAAGTGGTGCAGTGGTAAAGAATCCACCTGCCAATACAGGAGAAACAGGAGACATGGGTTTGACACCTGGGTTGGGAAGATCCCCTGGAGTAGGAAACTCACTCCAGTACTCTTGCTTGGGAAATCCCATGGACAGAGGAGCCTGGTGGGCTACAGTCCATGGGGTTGTAAAGAGTCAGACATGACTGAGCGACTGAGCATACAGGACCTTCTCAATGCCTGCATGATTTCCAGTAATGTCTCCTTTTTTCATTTCTGATATTGGTAGTTTGAGCCTTTTCTCTTTTTCATTAATCTTGCTAGCTGTTTATTTTATTAATATTTTTTCATAGCTAACTTTTGGCTTTATTTATTTTATTTATAGCAACTGAACAATAACAATAATTATATGTTTCTTTTAGTTTAATTTTAATTCTCAATAACTCAGATATGACTGTATCATCAGACAATCAAGCATCTCAGTGTTGGCAACTAGGTGTAGAATCTATGTGAATGTGATAGCTACAGACTCTAACAGTCCAGGTGTGTTAGATAGGTGGCCCAAATATCATTAGCAACATTATCCTCAGGGATGTGGTTTTCTGAGATGGTGAATGCCTCATGGAATCATTCTAATCAAGTCAAATACCTCCTCAATTTGCAGTCTTTATTACAAGATTCAATGTATATTAGAACATTGCAGATATTTTTTGTGTTCTCTATAAAAGGAATTAGGCTCTAGATAGATTTTTTTCTTCTATATAAATATCCAGTGAGACAATTTGGAGGTTGTTCAGGTGTAAGACAAATATTTGATTGCAGGACAGTATGTATCCTTGAACCTTCTTACTGAATGTCCATAAGGTTTCCCAATGTGACAAAAAGTAGAGAAGTCTCCTAAAATTTCCAAAATGCCTGGCTAGGTGGCTCTACCATTCCCTTTGAGATATGACCACTGTAATAGGGGAGAAGTCATATAACAGATGACCCTCACTTTTTTGTTGTCAAAAGTGCTTCTTTCTTTCCATCTCCATCATCGTTCAGGATTGACTACCAGACTCAGATCCCACTTTTCCTTTCCTGTTCAGAGAGGTTGTGGCTTCCTGGGACTTGCCCTAACAGAAACTTCCTCTAGGCTGAATTGAGTCTATTCCTATTATTAATATGTAATAGTGTTCACTCACCACCACTGCACTGATGCTAGTGCAAGATCTGTCCCCAACCTGTGTGGCAACAGTTTTGGTCTTTCTAAAGTCCTGTGTATATACTTCAGCTTCTTTACTTGGGCTGTTCTGGACTGACTTCTAGTACTGACCACTCACTGGAAGTGAGTGGTCACCTCAGCATAAGGCTCCCTCCCAGTCCCTTGGACTGCAAGGAGATCCAACAAGTCCATCTTAAAAGAAATCAATCCTGAATATTCATTGGAAGGGCTGATGCTGAAGCTGAAACTCCAATACTTTGGCCACCTGATGTGAAGAACTAACTCATTAGAAAAGATCCTGATGCTGGGAAAGATTGAAGGTGGGAGGAGAAGGGGATAACAGAGGATGAGGTGGTTGGATGGCATCACTGACTTGATGGACATGAGTTTGCATAAGCTCCAGGAGTTGGTGATGGACAGTGAAGCCTGGCATGCTGTAGTCCATGGGGTCTCAAAGAGTTGGACACAACTGAGTGACTGAACTTAACTAGAGGTAATTGGCATCAAGGCTGATTGAAGGTCCTGATTGGGTTTGGGACTCCAGTTCACTACATATTTTAGGAGCACTGCCTGGACTATGTCAGTTTCAAATTCCTCATCCATGCTTTAATCTAGTTGTCACTTTTGCCCCTTAATTACCTCCTTTCTTGGACCAACATGGTGTTGTGTACCAATTACAAAACTGGCAGTCTCTAGTCTGGTAGAGAATTTTGTGATGACTTTAACCCAACAGATTATGGGGGCTTCAGCCTCCAGTCCCATAGCTAGCTGGGATTTCCCTGACTAATGAATTCACTATATGCTTGATACTGGGGCCCTCGCCTTGGGGACTTGTGACACTGTATGCATCATACCCATGTTATACATCAAATCTCTTCCTACCTTTTCTTTGGTATGAGTTGCTGCTTACCTGCTAAGCTAGAGGTAAGGCTGTGGGTCATGGGCAGTGTGACCAGTGGCTCTCTGTTGCAAAGGCTGCTCAGGTAACTGACTTTACTTGATGAAAATCCTTGTTGTGTTGAAACTCCTTCTCTTGGTGAAACTCCTACTAACTGTATCCCTTAGACCTGGAGGCTTCCACTGCCAAGCAAACCATGTCCCCAGCTGCTCACCAGTACACTGCCAAATCAGGGTAGAAAAGGAGCCTGATTTTTTGTTCTGTTTTGTTTATTGTTTTAGTTATGCTTTCCTGTTTCTTACTATGATCCGGCAGTAATTGGCAGAGTGCATAGGCAGCTAATTTTAACACAACTAACAAATGGGACATACTTAAACCAATTTGAACACAATTTGCACATGGTCAGTAAGTGGTTGGTCAAACTTTCCCCAAGCATAGGTGTGGTATTAATATAACAAGTCAAGGCAGACCTAGGGAAAGCACTTTTTTTTCCTTTTAATAAAGGGTGCCATTTATCTAAGTAGTTGTACTGATCCCAGTTCTTGATTGCACTTCCATGTACATCAACCTTATTCATGTGTGTTTCTTCATTTCTGGTTTTGTCGTTACTTT